ACATGTGTGTGTTATCGCGCGACTACAATTTTACAAGCTGTAGTTTTCAACACATCGGAAAGCGATATTACACATTCGCGTGGATAATTTAAAGAGAAATTTTATCGCAAGATCTAAACCGGAAGTTTCTCTTTACATTACAGGTACATTCACAGCAAGGAGAAACCGTTTAAATGCGCCGAGTGCGGCAAGGGATTTTGCCAGAGTAGGACACTGGCTGTCCACAAAATTTTGCATATGGAGGAATCACCGCACAAATGTCCCGTCTGTGCCAGGAGCTTTAATCAGAGGAGCAACCTGAAGACACACCTACTCACGCATACGGATATCAAGCCTTATCACTGCGCCTCCTGCGGCAAGGTCTTCCGCAGGAATTGCGATCTGAGAAGGCACTCATTGACCCACAATTTGGGAGTACCGTCATCGCCACCGCCCTCGGGAATCCCGGTTTCCGGTTCGAGCACCATTGTTCTTCAAGAGACATCTTAATGCGCGGGCCGATCCATCGATTTCTCCCTCTCCTTCATCGGGACAAAGTCCCTGCCTGGGCGCTTTCTTACAACAACGCGGATCCGATCGACGTCCATTTATTATAACACCGCAGTGATCTTGACTCTTCAACGTGCAATCAATTCCGACGGTCGATTCGATCGCGTCGATACGGTCCACCATGGTACGGTCTTGGATCTTGATCTCTTGCGCGTATTCACATTGTATCTATCTGCCTGCACTATCTATCATCGTTAACGTTTAGAGCGTAATCATTGTTATGTATGTACATCGCGATAAGGTCAAATACGGATTCGTGCATGTTTAGATTTGTAATTCTATGTATGCGATACGCAGTATAGGTACCCCGGAATAACGTATAGTTGTCTCCGTTCTTATAGATCGCGTACCTACTGTACTGTCCGTTGTGTTCTGTCGTTCGTGTGTAAAATAAACATTTATTATTATTTTTTAATTTCTGATCGTCTACACCCTCATTCAAACTCCCTTGCCTCTCGCGTGGCTAAACGATTCGAAACAAATCAAATCGAATTTAATTTTCGAATATACAGTTTTTACAGAAAAAAACATTAGCCGAAATTTTCGAATAGAAATTTAATACAAAAAGATATCTGAAAAATTAACTTGGATAAAAATATCAGATTTGTTATTAATAGCATCGATTTTATTTCCTTTCTTTAAAATCTTTGCGAACTTCTCGAGAAGCATTGACGTGCAACACACATTTAATTTAATTTGATAATATAATTAAACTCCTCTTGTCATGAAATAAAATATTTTATAATATTATATAACTCTCCGAACCATCTACGTGCAACACTTAGAAATCAGACAGTTATAGAGTATTCACTTAAACAGGTTTGAGCGAGTACGTCAGCCCGGTCGAAAATTCCAATCCCCCTGGTATTAAACCCAGGATTTTTGCCTCCTCCTTTTTTTTATCTGTTCCACATATCCAGGCTAGGTATAAGCTGATGACGGGCCGGAGAGAAGAAGAGACAAAAGGGTACGACGAGAGAAGTGGTGGAGAAGAAATTAAAGGGGAAGAAGGAGGTGGATGACAGAGAGAGAGAGAGAGAGAGAGAGAGAGGAGGGAGGGG